ATAATGTGGTTAACAGAAACCTTTTTAACAACAAAAATGCGAAATTACAACCAACAAAACTGTGAAGTTTTTACTTTTGGGCCCTGGAAGTACAGTATATCCGGAATATCCGCTATGCCCTCATCATCATCATTTTATTCATCGTATCAGTCGTATAACGCCCACAGCTGAGCTATGCCCTACCTGTCAAAATACTATAGAAACATGTGGATAAATATTATAAATATGAATACCTATAACTGTTACTTTATTACAAAAAATTAAGATGTGGTTTTTGGTTCTACTACACCAATGGTCAAGAGATGGCGCTGTAGTCTCCTGAATCGCGCTTTGGTTCCGTTGTTCCAGATTAATAAATACTTTTCATAGGCCTTCACAATGCAGTCGTTAGCACCCACTAAATAGAGATTCTATTTCTATTTTGTTGGTAGATTTTCTTAATGTGCGGTAAACACAAAAGTAACGCATGAAGTTGGTCGCTAAAGCGACCAACTTCATGCTGTTAAAATTTTGTGTTACAGTGATGCGCGCGCATCTTAAAATTTCACTCTCATAATTTTTTCATAACGCGCCTAAAGAAGTATAACTTCAAAAAACACTGCCGCCTCCCCTCTTAATTCCGAAGAACGTTTGAAAAGGTATTCGGGACTGAAGCTGGTTTTCCAATTATAATTTCAGTACTATCGATGTAATTAAACACACTACAAGCACCTTTGTAAATAAAGAAATAAAATAAATTATGACAACTACAAATATTTTTATTACGCCTTGCTCTTGAAACTGCGATATAAAAGTTTGTCAGTCTGCGGTACAAGGTCGCACACCGCGGCGCGGGTCGTCGTTCGCCTATCTCATTGCATAAACTTGCACAGCACTATCTAAAAATTACTTTCGTCCGACAAAGAAAATAGGGGTGATGACGGGTACAGTAAACGAAATTCTATTTAGTCCATCAGTTAGGTGATCAAAAAATAATGGACACGTATTTTTTCTTTGGGCAATCAACCAAAAAATGACAAAGTTATAGCGCGTCAAAGTTTGGGAGTAGGGGCTCGTGACGTCACTTTTAAGTGAAAATTGTACCAAAACGTGACGTCATGCGACTTTTAAAATCCATATATCTCTGCAATGTTTATATTATTTGAAAAAAGAAAAAATACGTGTCTCAATAAGTATTTTATTGATAATCTACCTGATAAACGAAGAAAAAAAAATAGTCATCATCCCTATTACAAAGAAATAATCTTTTATTCAATGTTTATTATATACCTAGTATTAACAAATCACATAGTTGCTTTTAAAAGGAAACGGTTCTAAAGTGGTAGTCGGTTTCCGGCAGCGATGAAACATATATCATTTGAATGCTTGTTTTATGTAATAACATGAACAGATATTTATATATTTTAATGTAATTGTACGCCCGAAATGGGCAAACTGTTGGCACTACCAAATTTTAAGAACCATTTGTACACAGTTCTGGACAATAAATGATTATCTTATCTTATCTTATTTATTTTATTTTTAATGTGAAAACTTCTTAAGCACCCTTGTGTTTGTTTCATAAGCTATGCAGGCTGCAAACTGCATAAGAGGCACTAATGAAATAATTGCATGTCTGCTGCTGGCTCCGTGTGGATTTTTTTTAGCAATATTTTGTTTAGATGTAAACATCGAGCAGTTACATGCCTTTACAATAAAAATTATAGCTACAATTGCGTGTTTTAGGAATAAAAACAGTAATTCATTTTAAAATTGAACAATTTCGTAAGGATGCTGGCCACCGTCATAGGTAACGCAATATTTTTGTTTGTAGCAGTTTATTAACGCCAGCTCAACTCACTGTAAAATATCAATCAGACCATAATATCCATAATATCAATCAGTTCATGTATATTAAGTAAATTTCCCTGTAAACAGGGTAACATACAATTTTTCGCCCATATGATGGTTGTGTGTATTAAGTAAAGGACAATGGCGAACTCCCATACAAATTTTTGCTGACAATTTTTTTTGCGTCTATAAATGAATTACATGTTAAATTATAGAGTTTAGATTCTCGATTTGATTCGTTTTATTTATTTTATTATAGGAAGTCTGGATTTATAGATATTCCACATTGAAGTTTTAGAGGTTATGTCATACCAAGAATACAAAAAGGAATTATAAAATAATGTTCAAGAGTATTTTTAGATCAAAATAAAACATACGTGAAACGGAACTATAAAAGTATATCTATCCCGTAAATTAGTGACGAAAAAAATGATTTTTATAATGTATGATCAACGGGCATAGGTACTGACCGCGTCAAAATACTTAATAATACTTAACAGGCATGGGATAAAGAGTTCGAATACAATGCCTGTGCTGTAAGAAGTACTTAACAATTTGAAAATGCCCCTGGACAGCAATAAAAAAACATAAAAAAAGGATTTCTAATAAGTAGTGTACTATTGGGGCATTAATTAAATATGAAACATTTTTTTATATATTGTTTATGCCACATCTTTGATCACAATATCATGGATAGTTTTTGTTTTAATCTAAGTAGATAGTAGATATAATGAAATAAAATCCACAGTATGGAACAGAATCTTGTCCAGAATCCACATCAAGAATTCGTCCAAAATATCAGATTCGGAATTCTTAGGCAAGCACTACTCAACAGTCGCCGGGGAAGATCTGGAAAGTCCGAAGGCAGTCCAGATCACATAAAAAAACAAATCTCAGAAAAAAAAACAATACACCGATTTAAATCTTTGCAATTTTGCAAAATGCACATGCAACGATAATGATAACAACAACAAACCGATGACAAGCATGACAGTGACAGTTATAGTTTTTTGTGACATAATTGGCGCCATACTCTTTATGTATTGTGAAGATTATTTTATTTATTATGGTTTCAGAATAATATTGAAAAATAATGTTTCCTGGTGTTTTTGACAGATAATTAAATATAGTTTAAGTGTAAAGCGATGCAAAACATACGAACAACATACTTGAAGTTGATTTAAGCACTAAAATCACTTAAAATAAATGACTCAAAAGCCATGATGCCAAGCCACAATACAAATAAAAAAAAATAGTCAATTGAGTTTCCTTTTTTTAAGATTTTAATTCCAGACTTAGACAACCCTCCTCAATTATTTAATAAATCTTTTGAGATTATTTTATTATAATTTCTAATAATGACATCTATAGACGCTAAAGATTTACTTCAACAAATATTTCGCCATTGTCCTTTCCCTGTAAACAGGGTAACATACAATTTTTCGCCCATATGATGGTTGTGTGTATTAAGTAAATTTCCCTGTAAACAGGGTAACATACAATTTTTCGCCCATATGAAGGTTGGCGGTCGCCATAGACCATATGCGCTTGCGATTTCACAGTTTTTTTTTATACGAATGTAAAAAATACTATTTACAGACGACGGAGCACACCGCCGAACGGACCTCACACCCGACCCCGTAAGTCTTACGGGCGCTTTACGGCATAATATCCGCTAAAAACCCTGCGAATACCCTCTAAACTTAGCGTGAAGCCGCGGGATCCTGCACCCGTCTAGGCTTCCAAAGTTCCAATAGAGATTTTATGTCCACATACGATATAGCGGATCTCCTGAAGTTTAACGACTCTCATTACATAGTCCATAATAAGCATAAATATTGATAGAAGAGACAATAGTTTATCGCAGATTGCTCGCTACATACACAGAACGTATGTGCATACCTTCGTTACATGTAAGTAAACACAGTCTATAGATAGATGATAATATTTATGAATACTTGCGCCTCGGTTTTGCACAGACAATTTATTTTGAGAGTTCAATACGAAAATTCAATCACATTTTTGAAGTTATACTTCTTTAGGCGCGTTATGAAAAAATGATGAGAGTGAAATTTTAAGATGCGCGCGCATCACTGTAACACAAAAATTAACAGCATGAAGTTGGTCTTCAACTTCATGCTGTTACTTTTGTGTTTACCGCACATTAAGAAAATCTACCAAAAAAATAGAAATAGATTCTCTATTTTGTGGGTGCTAACGACTGCATTGTGAAGGCCTATCAAAAGTATTTATTAATCTGGAACAACGGAACCAAAGCGCGATTCAGGAGACTACAGCGCCATCTCTTGACCATTGGTGTAGTAGAACCAAAAACCACATCTTTATTTTTTGTAATAAAGTAACAGTTATAGGTATTCATATTTATAATATTTATCCACATGTTTCTAGTTTGTATATTCGGAATACGTGTTTGAGTTTCATACAAGTGCAAATCACATATGTTCTAATAATTATATTCAGTAGCGATTTTAATTGAATATTTTGATTATTTATTTATTTTTTCAAATTAAAACTGAACTTTATTGACTGTGTCCTTTTCCAGACTTTTTATTAATTTATTGTAATTAATTATTTACATGCAATTAAAAACTAATTTTAAACGATGCCAAAGAAGGATAACTTCTCACGCGCCTACATAAGTACACGCACCCATTTTCTTTTTAAAATCTTCTGTTGTCTGAAAATCCAGAAAACAGCAATTAAACAGCCAAATCTCCGCAAAATTTGTGTATACTTCGATAGGCGAACTTCGAATAGCTCAGTTCACGACCTTAAAACTGCGATATCTTTTGTGCCAAGTTTAAAGACTTAATCGTAACGAGGTTTTACAGGTAGAAGACTAACGCATAAACACGTCTTTTATCCCTGGAAAGTTTTGTAAATCCTCAGTGTTAAAACTGCCCTCAAAACGCTTTCTCGAAGAAAATATTGGTTCAATTTGAAAATTTTCCAATCATTTCTCACACTATAAACGGAAGAACAATGACATTTTCCTATATAAGACTATTTAAAGGTGTTTACGAGCTACTTTACATATTTACTAATTTAAAATGAGAATGTTTGCCCAGCGCTCCGCATAATATGGAGGAATACTGAAAAATGTTTGCGCTGCAAAGACTTCAGATCTAATAGCAAACACAGCAGATACGGCTTCCACAGTTTCGTATAAAACGAAGTCATCACTTGATGTTATCTCACAATAGGCTGATAGTTCACAAGAATGCAAATAGGCTGTTCTATCGTTTTGTGCAGTTGTAGCGGGTCCGGGTAGGAGGTGAAGTTGTTGATGCTGATTCTTCTGCCAATTTCGTGGGAAAGATAGAGATAGTTTTTGTGCTTGTACTCGAAGATATGGTGAAAATGGGGAACGACGCGGAAGCACCACCGGTCAAAGAGGAAATTCCTTGTGATCATCTGTACAAAGTTACGGGACTGTCGTCCACGAATTTGGAGAAGTTAGCACAAGGTACAGTAGCTACATCTTTTAGATATAAGTACTGTTCTTGCATCGTTAATAGAAATTAAATTTTGTTTTCGAGTTTTCCTTATGAGTCATGTTGTTTTGAACATTGGTTGCTTTTACGGTCAGCCAATATTCAGGAATTTATTTTTTTGGCTAGTATTAGGGAAAAATGTAGGTTACTAACTTTTAATTTCATAAGGAAAAGATTTTCGTAAAATAACGCCGTTGGAAGCTGTTAAATATGCTGAAAAACAGTAATTTTTTAGTTAGAAACAATAATGTCAAATCCACTAATGATGTACATGAAATATTGGTGAGTTACTGTGGAAGATGATAAAGTTATAATATTTTTTCTTAAGTTTGATTTCTCAGCTATTTCTTATACGATACTATGGGCTTACATCTAGAAATCATCCATTAAGATGAGCTTGGAAGTATCTACTTTGATTCCAACACTATCCTGAGATCTGATAAAATTGACAACTGAAAGAACGATACATCACATTTTAATGGGTCACTCGGAGACGAATACAAACAATCTTAAGGTTACAGCTCCGGATTCCTCAAGTTCCTTGAAATTCTTCGTTCGCCAAGGCGGCAAAAATGTGCCAATAATATTATCTGGGTTCAAAACAAGCGGCGCGGTACGATGGCGTGAGAGTCGAAACCCAAATCTTGGATTGTGGCCAAATATTAAAATCTGCTTGATTCACGAATGTCACTCCGGCGCAGATAATTGGCAGACGCGAATATTCTTTATCACCTATACCTATATGAGCTCACGTTTTTGTTTGTTTGGGTTTGTGTTTTGTTTTGATTTATTCTAGTTTAGGTAGGTATACGATACATTTATAATGAGTCGGTGCTCATCTGATATAAACTGCTTCATATTCATAATTTTAAGGATTTTTCTGTATTTCAATTGCTGAATCAGCTAAATTGATTTTTCTGAAAGTTGTTCGTTTGAATGTGGTTGCGGACGTGATTTTATCAATATAAATGAACACATGGAATATACAAATATACTATTATCTAATACTAGCTTAAAGCAAAAAATATACTATAACAATATAAAAACTAAAAACCTTAAAAAATAAAATATAATAACTAAAATACATTATTAAAAGGAGTCCCTTTAGGCAAGGTTCCGAAGATACTGGCTGCGTTCCCCCTTTCGATAGCTAGACTAATTCTTTGTCCGAGGTAGCTGCCAGCTCTTCGGTCTCCTGTGACGTCGACTAATCTTTTTGCTATTTCTTTAAAAAGCCTTATAGCGCTAGGACCCCATGGACCCCATGGTCTCGACACCGAATGGGACAAAATTAAATCAATTTTATCACTATTACTTCCGCAGTTCCAAACCTGTGAAAATAATCTGTCGTCGGAAATGTCAAAATAATTTATCAAGTACTCGGAGTCTGTCTATTATTTTACATTAGAATGACTATTTCAGTTTAATTACTCAATAATATGCGTCTGTGCGAACAATAACGTTTCGCTATTAGTGAAAGCTTGGCACTGATGGTGGAAGCATAAATTATAAATTTTATCACCAGTCTCATGTGGCTTTAACGGCTAATATATAAACTATTTATAAAAATGGAAACAATTCGCAGCAGCCCAAAGCCGAGAGGATGAAAAACAATACATAGTATGAGTCTGAGTCTGAGCACTGAAATAAATAATAATAATAAATAAATATTTCCAACACACACACCAATTAGCCTAGCCCCAAAGTAAGCACTATAAGGCTTGTGTTATGGGATACTAGGGTAACGGATAGAATACATATATTGTACATATATAAGTATATTTATATAGAAATACATATTAAACGTCCATGACTGGAGTACAAATGCTCGTAGTCATCACACAATCATCTGCCCCCACCGGGATCCGAACCCGGGACCTCTCGAGTCGGCGACGCCATGAAACCCGGCGTACAAACCACTCGGCCACGGAGGTCGTCAATCATGACTTCTATCTAATCACGGATTAGAATAGAAGGCTTGAAAATCAACTTCCCATATATCATGAACTTCGTGGTGTCGTGAACTCTAAGGTATTGAAATCTATCTACGTTAGGTACTGAAGGAGCTCGATGGCGCAAATAGTTAGTTAGCGCATTCGGCTGCGATCGTTGAAGTTAGGTAACTTCCGCGGTGTTCGGTCATTGGATGGGTGACCAAAAATTTACTGTCTCAAGCTCCTCCGTGCTTCGGAAGGCACGTTAAGCCGTTGGTCTCGGCTGCATCTGCAGTCGTTAGCACCCACCCGCACTAGGCCCGCGTGGTGGATCATGGCACAATCTCCCTATTCCATCCATATTGAAAGCCTGTGCCCCAGTAATAGGGATATTAATAGGAATATCAACTCACGTCAATGAACTTGCCTCTAAACTACAGGGTAGGAAGTGTTTCACACAACCGATTAAAACGGCATGATGTCCCTACGCTGGTTGCGAGATTCGATTAAGGAACGAATAAATAGTTCTTTGTGGTGGTATTGACATAAACTTAATTCTATACCAACTGATTGGCTTATTGTATCAACACAGATCGCCAAATTGCAGAATACAAAAAAAAATAGGATGATGATGAAGTTAAGTAGAGTAAAATGGACAACTATCGACCATCGTCACATCACGATATATCGAAAGATAACTTTAGAGGTAAAACTCCAGCCTATCCAGCCTATCGAGGCGGTGATAGGCGAAGTGTCAAACTATTACGGCACTGGGTGTCAATCGACTAACGGAATTGTTATGGGTATCGCTATCGCTTACGATTTATTTTTGTTATTTCTGACCTTAGAAGGTTTTCAAACACCTTACGCTCATTGTATTCAATATTGTTGTTACCAATACAAAACAAAAAAAATGAGTGCGGAGCATTTGAAAACCTTCGGCGGTCAGAAATAATAAAATAAAATCGTAAGCGATAGCGATAGCCAATCCTATTAGGCGAATGCCTAAAAAGTATTCATTTGACATTGTGGGTTACCTACAATGCGAAGAGATGGCGCTGCCTTGCAGCTTAAGGCTAGGAAAATTTCGACGCGGCCATCAGGGCCGTGGTAGCATAATTGGTCAGTGCATTCGCCCGGATTGCGAAGGGTGCGGGTTCGAGTACCGTCCGCTGCCTGGTCCGCGTGGATTTTTTTCTAGTTTACTAGAGATTTAAACATCATTTTCTTTAGATTTAAACATCTAGCAGTTAAAAGCTTAAAAAGAAATAAAAAAATAAAAACATAATTGTAATTTTTATCCTTAGATATATATAATGTTTCTATTTTTTCATTGTGTGTAAGGAAAATAAATGCTTTATATTGTTTTAAACTTTCATGGTCATTAACACTATAATATTTTTTGTTACTACCGGGATTGCCACCATATACCTTGTTTTTGCCAAGTCCCCGATATCTCGCTATAATATTACAAGAAATGATTTTATTCCTTATTTCTTTCAATGAGAATACAATACTTTCAATGAAACGGGAGTTTCCTAACCGATATTGTGTCCTAATATTTATACAATTACGACTAGATCTCAGATAAGACTCAGATACTACCGCCAACTAAACAGAAACACATAAAAGAGCTACCAATTTTATACATTTTAACTTTCCTCATATAAATTCAGTATTCTATTTTATTCAGTCGATTAAATTTGTCGACAATTTTGAATAACCATACGTCACACATTCTATTCTTAGTGTTCCAGTATTTAGACCTCATTTTCCTAAACAGAGATGAGAAATTATATATTGTAAATAGACATAATGAATACAAATTGAAAATAAGCTATCATTCAACTAGAAGAAGCGTAAGAAGCACAGAAATTCATCATTGATCTTTTGAGGTTATAGATTTCAATGATTTATTGCAAAAACGGCACAGTAATCAATATCTTGGCATCGTCTTGTCTTATTGTATTTTTATTTCAATTTTGAACTCTTATATTTGATGTCGAAAGAAAAAATAGTACTTAAATACTTTCAACTCAGCCAAGATTTCAGGCTGGAAAGTACCATTTACCAGTATCTCCATTGTTTTCACCCACTGGTGGTATCACAAATAATTTGATATTGCCGTACCGTTTGCAAGATTTACCAGTGATTAAATAGGAAATAATTTAATGTTTATAGTCAGATAATATCTCGTTCGCATTTTGTAAAGTACGTTTTTTTTATATTATAATATGTATTTATATGTTTCGTATAAATGGTTTGTTATGATTCCAGTTTCAGAACCGCCGGCTGACTTCGAGACAGCGATCTCCATGACCGGCTACGGCCGCTTCAACGTACTTCTGATGCTGTGCTCTCTGCCGGCGTTCTGGAGCGCCGTGTCCGTGACCAGCTCTGTGTCCTACATCTTCACGAGCGCGCAGTGCGACATGCAGCTCAGCCTCCTCGACATGGGCACTGTCAACGCCATCACTTATGGAGGTAACCTTTGATGGTACAGTAAGATTATCTTTAGCTGACTTCGAGACGGTGATCTCAGTGACCAGCTACGGGCGGTTAAATATCCTTCTGATTGTGTCCTCACTGCCGGCGTTCTGGAGCGCCGTGTCCTACATCTTCACGAGGGCTCAGTGCGATATGCAGCTGTATCTCCTCGACATGGGCAATGTCAGCGCCATCGGTTATGGAGGTATCCTTTGATCGGGGTGGAGAAAGATTATCTCTCAGCGCATTTTCAATTCAATAGTAGTTAAAGAGTCTGTTAATGCAGTGACCAATAATGCAGATCAAGTTAAGCTATTTTTACAATGGCCAAGATAAACCAGATATTCATTATCTTGAGCTCCTCTGGCAAAAAACATGTCTACATGCAAGGCCTGTGCCTCATCAATGACAACATTTATTAATTAAATGAAGTTTGTAATCTCTAACGGTATTTTAACATGAGCGTTCGACACATGTTTATGCTTTCGTAGACTAAAGTAATGTATATTTGACATCAGTTTTTAATGTTGTAAATTTTTACTCAGACATTGATTATGACTTCCATAAATAAATCATATGTTATAGACAACAAACATCACATATATGGTTCTGACCCCAAATTGGAGATTTAAAGCATATTATGTGCTTAGGAAATGAGTCATCAGGAATAAGACATTTACACTGCAATGTTTAAAACACGTTTATGTCGACAAATTATTTGGTACGAGTCCACAGCAATAGATTAGGCTCAAAATTGAATCTACGCTTTTGAGCCTAAAAAGATGAAATGATTTGACGAATTTTGGTATTATTACCAATATTCGTTGTAAAAATAGAACAAGAATTAAATAAATATCATTATCGGGTCAAAATATTCAAGTCAACACGTCATATCCAGTAACAACATTTCATTTGACGTATTCAAAAATATATTTGCAGTAAAAAAATACCTTGAATACTACGATTCCACAATCTGTAAATACTTCCTTGGCATTAAGATAAAACATTAAAAATTGAATATTATCGTAATCCTGAATCCAGTGGCCAGATAACATCGTTCAATTCTATTTACACGACTAAGCCGCACTAATAATACATATAACAATATTATTAAAGGTTCTTATTTGTTTCTTAGGTTTTCACGCACACCAGTCATTCTATAAATCAAGTTTCAACGGTATAGCTGCATTGATTTATTTATTTCCTGACGAGATTTTTTAAAAGTTCTTATTTAAATTATCCTCAAATCAAATATTTAGTAATCTTACCTAATCTTTAGGTGGTCAGTTGTATTTCTTGGTGATTACTTTTTTGTTGAGGATCGTTTGAATACCAATTACCATTATTGAAAGATTATCATATTTTTTCCAAAATAACAATTAGACAATCATTTTAGTTTTTATAATTTGCATGCTCACTCACACATCGTCGGTCTTGTAGTTATTCTCTCTACGTAGCAGTAATTTAGTAGCTTTTTAATTTTCACAAATATATAACCTGCAAGTCGTTTCTTATGTCTGGGTATGTTGAATTTGAATTATCATATTTTAAAGCCTATCCTTATTATGGATAATAAGAGTTATTTATAATATATACCATAATACTGACTTCTCGGTCTGAAACTGCTTACTGGGATTTAAGTATTCCAAAAAAAAAAGTTTTCGAAACCGCGGAGCTGTAGCGATTAGGTTTTTATAAGTGGTGAAGACACAGATTTTTGTCTTGAAATTTAATACTCAATTAATAATCACCTCAATTTCACAAAACAATTTCATACCACCAGCATTAAGGTCCATGTTATAGCAGAGCAGCTGCCATCGACTACGACTTTACTACATCTGCAGGAAAAATAACTGATAATTAGTGTATTCCTCGGACAGTCCATATGAAGATCTGTCCAGAGCCTGCTCCAGATAAAAAGCTCTTGAAATAAAAAAAAATATATACGTTGACCCATCTATAAAAATTCTAATGCTATAAAATAAAGCTCCTTTATTCTTGATTTTACAAATATTGCATTTGTAAATGACCTCAATTGGATGACCAATTAACAAACCTTTAAATAATAACTGAAATAGTTAATGACGAATGAAACAAAGCCCATAAATAGATGGTTTTTAGCGATAAGTATTATCGTATGATTTTTACAACCAGAAGATAATAATAATGATTTGATGTTGTGATTAAATCCAGCAACATGAATAATAAAAAAAGAAAAGGGATTTATATAAATCACTTGTAAGTATACAAATACACACTGAACAGACACTGATAAAATGGTTTTACTTAGTCATTGATAGTACTGTAATTGTGTTATAGCTTCTTCTAATTTCTATGATATAAAATTTGGATAAGAGAAAGATAAAAATTGGATGGATAAGAGTAGGAAAAGTACATATTTTTATGTAAAATTATTAAGAAGTCCGTTGACTGGCATGTTAGAACCATGCTAGTTCTTGAATATGTCGTCATTTTGGACAATGATTGCACCCATATTGCGTCGATTTTGTGTTTGGATACGGTTGACTAATACATAGTCAAAACTCTTCGGAGAAACTAGTTTCAAATCATCAAGTAAGAGATATTGATAACATATTAGCGGTGCGAATGTTATTTAATACACATTTGTAGTTTTCAAATTAGAAGCTGGGCTTGGTTTCACAATAAATATGTATTCTTATTTACAATGTGCTTCTTCTTCTGTGTGGTGGGTGTTTTTCGTGCCTATTTTGCGTGAGCTCAGCAGTCTCTTGGTGTCCCCGCAGGCTTCAAGCAGCGTCTGCGGGCTGCCCAGGTGTGTCATCCGTTGTCTTGTCGCGCCTCTGCACTGTAGCAGTACGTGAGTGCTCATCTCCTCCTCCTCCATGCAAGCCCTGCACAGAGGACTCTCCGAGACACCGATTTTAAAGAGATGTTCATTAAAGTGTCAATGTCCTGTGAGAATGCACACATTTTGTTTCAAAGCATGTCTTGGTAGCTTGCAAAACTTACTAGCTAGCCGTGTATATACCTTAGTTATGACCTCCCTGGCGTGCCTGCAGTCTGCACGTCCAGCCCAGTATTCGTTATGTTGTCGCAAGTATCGTTCCTTAATCCAACCTCACAATGTGCTTATTCCGATTCTAATGAATATTTTTCAACCTTACGTCAACCAAAACTGCGACTGAGTGTTAACTAGCAACATATTTAATAGCATTGAAGTATCGCATACTTTTCTGACGCCAAGTTTTCTGGTGTCGTAGGTAATCTAGATTACAACTTGTGACAATAATGCTGATATTATTAATCATTGATAAAAACTAGCAAATATTTAATAAGCACAATGCAACCTAAACAAATTTACAGCAGCAGCGGTTCTTGTTGATATGCTAATGTTCTTTGTTTGCCGTACAAACGTTATTTACGCAATGATGATTTTAAGTATGTCTCCATGCATGTTATCAGAGCAGACAGATGTTTTGTTGGTAATTATAACGTTCTTATTTATGCAAATTTCTAAAAATAACAACGTTAATTATAAATCAAATAAAATAAGAGACAGAATTGTTTATATAAATATTGAAACAATGTTAAGGTGCCCAATGCCTATTACGATAGCAGTTGATTTAAGATTTGTTTTCTATCTAATACCCTTGTCTAAACTCGTGGCTTGGTAAAGTAAAATAACAATACCTTTTGGTAGTGTTTTTCTTTCTGTGAACAAGGACCTGGAACCTGGCAGGGTAAGGGATTGGGTCAGTGTATAGGCAACGGCACGAGTGAAAGTTTGTAATGTTTATTTTTGAACAAGGCGTGACACTGACACTCATATTACTGACACACGTAGGACAGCTGTTTTGTCTATAATAGCGAACCGCTTATGTCAACGTAGCTGTCAAACTTCATTGATTGGGTTGGTAACATTGAAGGAATAGTTGCTTTTATTCATTCGACTCAGGAAACGACTTGAAACTTATAAAAAAAAAGAAGTGAATCTCTGTTGTTGTGTGTTGATTGATGGGTGAATTGAGTTTGCCAATTGTTAAATTTTGAATTATTTGTTTCCATATCGATTTGAGTTCTCAATCGGGCGCTTTTCCAAGGTAATATAAAAAAACGGCATTTTTACATTAGTAAGGCAAGCGTCTTATGGTGGCCGATTACCATAAGCTGCACTATACCTGTAAGCCACCCTTTTAACTTAAAAAAATACTAATTCTCCTACTTTATGGTTTCAATCATCATCATAAGTCGATTAATGTCTCCACGCTAGGCTGCAGACCAACCATATGGACGAATTAGACCCACCACACTGGCCAAGTCTAGGATCTAATCCAGCTGCAGATGTAACTGAAACCAAATTTCATTGACATTGTCTTCTGAAACGCGAAAAAACTCGACAAAACAAATTTTCAAAATTGATCAATTCTCCTTTGACGGGCCACTACGAAAGGACAATGGGCAAAACGTACCCAGCTCCGCCAACAATGTAATTAGTATGAATCGATAGGTCTATGAAAAACTAGCCTTTTTTATTATGACACCGAAAATAGATATCCTGGGAGTCAAAAGATATGACACCGTAACAAATATCCTGGTAGTCAATAGATATGACACATGGGCATATTTAAGTAGCTGAAAAAAATCATTTTATAATACCTTCATTTTATATTATTAGTAATCATAATAATATGCCATATCGTACTATAAAACCAGATATACGACAAAGCATGCCGACTATCCTGCGCTTGCTCTTACTGAGACATTTCAAAACGGTTTACGAATGCTGAAGGACTTGCAGTTGCAAATAGTCGACTCGTCTTACTTCGTTGTGATTGTGCGCTCCCTGCTACTTCATTGATTTTTATCTAACATGCTTTGGATATTGGAACACGATTATTGGTTTTCTCAATTAGTATGTATGGATAAACTAGAATTATGTGTTCTCCGAAGCGTGGACAAGTTTGTATAATCTGTGGTCGCTCCGTTATCCATAGAAGACAATTTACTATAACGAACAGAATGTTTAAAAAAATCAACTCATGCGGGGATTTTTGAATTTACTCTAGCGCGGCAGAATAACATAAGGGGGCACCCTTACACCTTATGAACTACTCCCATAATTCCTGAGCAGCCTATGTAGGGTCGAACTAACTAACTAAATTAATTCTCTTGTTTCATTAATGTTCGTTCGTTATAGTACTTCTCCATATTTAACTTAAAATAACTAAAGACCCCCGGGATGGAATTTGATGCATTTTGGCACAGATGATCTTGACTATAATACCTTTCAAACAAATGTAGTTTAAGCCGTGGCGGACGTGGGTGCAGCGTCCATACATTTTTGCCCAATGTCCTTTTGTTTAGCTTCTACGAAAGCATAATAGACGCACCAAATACCACGCCATCGAACTCTTTCCAAAAACGATCTTAGCAGTCACTGTTTCCTGGTTTCTTGTTCCTTAAATTGATGGTAACATTACCTTTTGGTGTTGATGTGTTTCAGTCCAGCAGGGCTTGTTTACCGGTTAATTTTCAAACCTAAATCAGTGTCAAGTACATTAGGAGCGTTTTATTTAGGTTAGGCTCTACCTTAACCTTAAAAAAACCGTTAACTTTTTTTCTAAAAACCGAAATCAAATAGGTTTTAAATCAATTTAGCGGTTTTTAAAGGGTTTCATTTCGCTCTTACTGACGGCATCGATAATAAATGAATAATTTGACGTGTCAATAAATGCATCAATCTGTGAGCATTAACAAGTTGTGACTTGATTAGTTCAAACAAAACAAACTTCAAGCGATGCCGACGCGTGCACGTGTCGCTCTGGATTAGACCGGTTTATTAAGGTTTTAGGTACCGCTTCCATTTCGGACGCGCTCCGAACGTAACCTTTACTAAAAACCGGTATTAACCTTTATTTACCGGTATTTACGAAACCGGTTTCAAGCCTTGCTGTCCAGGGCTCCACAGGGGTATTGCGTAGATAGTCGGCAACGGTTGCCGCGACCACACCCGCACCTCCGGTGTGCACCTGGGGGACTCCAGAATGTACGATGACCGGTGCAGGAGTATTGTCTGGTTTTTAGTGGCCCTGTTCAGGGCGTTAGGTAGTTCCTGCTTATTTCACCCGACCCAAGGGCTGGCTGTAATGAGCAGGGAGAAGTCCTACATACCTTTTCTCGTTCCCCCAGTAGTTGAAGAATGCGTAAGGCATTTCCCAGACACAAAAATAGGGCTCCACGGGTTAGAGGATTAGGTCAGGGTAGGCAACGGCGTAAGTGATATTTTTGGTATCGTAATGCTATCGTATGCTATAGAGGAGCTCGATGGCGCAAGTGGTTACCGAGTTCGGCTGCGATCGTTGAACTTCAGCAACTTTCGCAGTGGTCAGTCATTGGATGGATGACCAAAAATTACTATCTCGAGCTCCTCCGTGCTTCGGAAGGCACGTTAAGCCGTTGGTCCCGGCTGCATCTGCAGTCGTTAGCACCCACCAATCCGCACGGGGCCCGCGTGTTGGGTCATGGCCCAATCTCCCTATTCCATCCATAGGGAATGATGATGATGAATGCTATAGTGGCCACTTACCATCAGGCGGGCCATACGCCACCATTACCACATTACCACCCATTTAACATAAAAAGTTGTTAAATTATTATGTATGTTAAATCATCAGGTATGATCTCATCAGCGATGCTGTGGGGTTACCTTTCGGACACCCTCGGCCGGAGGCGCATCATGGCTTTGGGCTTCATGGGATCTGGCTTGATTGAGATAGCTGCTGCTTTGAGCCAGAACTTCCCAATGCTACTGCTCACAAGATTCGCAAGCGGGTTCTTGTAAGTTTTGGTCTTTTTCGTTTAAATGTATATTCCTTATCGCCACCTTAAGACCACAGAACCAGGACCCCAATCGCATTTAATTTCGATTTGCCAATGAGGTTTACAATTTTGAAAGGTTTTGCTTCAAAACGCTCTGAAAAGTCGTCAAGTATGATGTACCATTAAAATACACTTGTAATCGACTGGGATAGCCAGGGCTGTCTTTAACCTATTGGTATTATAGAAGTCCTTTGTCTTGCAACGCCTCTGCACTCCACTTCAGCAGAACACTCTATAATCAAAGAGTTGAACATTGCTACAGGTTTTTTTTTTCATGTTATAGGTGGCATACGAGCAGACGGCTCACCTGATGGTAAGTGATCACCGTCGCCCATGGACACTTGCAACACCAGGAGTATCACAAATGCGATGCCGGCCTTTAAGGAAGGAGTACGCTCTTTTTTTGAAGGTTTTTGGGTCGTATTGGTCCGGAAACACTGCTGGCGACAATATATTCCACAGTTTTGTCGTACGTGGTAAAAAATTTCGACAAAAACGCACGGTTGTGGATAGCCACGCATCAAGATGATGGTGATGAAATTTTTGTCGCGATGTACGATGGCGAAATGCAGCAGCTGGAATTAATATTATTTATGAATTATTATTATATTATTATTTAATTAGGTTCAATGGTCCGTTTGCGGTATTGCTGTCGTACCTAGCGGAGGTGCATCGTACAGAGCTCCGCGCACGCGTCATACTCCTTACCAGCCTGTTTTACACCGTCGCCAACACTACGCTGCCAATCCTGGCCTGGGCGATCCTGACGCGGGACTGGCACTTCTTCATCTACGGAAAGGAATTCGGTATTAAAATGAAACAAAAATATTCACGTGTTAAGGGCAGCTGTCCCACCACCGCGCCAGCGAGAAAACGACTAACTCTATCAGCTATTTTGCTCGCTCAAGAAACGTAAAATACATCTTATATATTCCTTGTCTCAAAAAAAAATATTCATCATCATCATCATCAGCCTATTAATGTCCCCACTGCTGGGGCACAGTCCTTCCCTATGGATGGAATAGGGCGATTGGGCCATGACCCACCACGCGGGCCCAGTGCGGATTGGTGGATGCTAACGACTGCAGATGCTACCGGGACCAACGGCTTAAAGTGCCTTCCGAAGCACGGAGGAGCTCGAGATTACTCGGAGAGTAAATTTTTAGTCACCCATCCGATGAACGACCACTGCGAAAGTTGCTTAACTTCAACGATCGCAGCCGAACGCGCTAACCAGTTGCGCCATCGAGCTCCTTATATCATTAATATTCAATCGCTGACTGTTTACACTGGCATCCAGCGGGAACTGGCTCCATTAGTTTCTCGCTGAGTGACAAGAGCTATCAAAGATCATACTCGCTTACTCGGCGATACTTGCTCAGCGATGCTCGCTTGGCGATCTGTCGCGCTTGCGTGCATTTTTGCTCAGGGCTCTCATCGCGAGCTGTGACACGAGTAATCTCCTGTCTTAAATTTGGTGACTCATTACTTTGTCGTACTATTCGTAAGTGGAATTCTTTGCCCGCGCACGTGTTCCCTCCTTCCTACAATCTGGGGTATTTTAAGAAAGGCGTGAAGAAGCATTTTTGTAGGCGGGCAAGGTGAGGATGGTTGGTGTGGCAGTTTATAACTGCTGTACCAGCTATCTTCGCGTTTGGACTTTATCACCACTTAACATCAGTTGTAGAATCATTTGCATAACTGCAATAGATATATAAAAAAAAGAAAAAATGTGTACCCGTGTCCCATTAGTGGAGACATAGGCTGATGGTGATGAAGATGACCTGATGGTAGGTTTCACCATTCGCTTGCCACTTTCACAGTGCCAGCTTAGACCCAATTCCCTACCTTCTCTGTTTTTGTCAAATTACTCGCTGAATAAGTCACCACTTTATGAATGTGAGTATGCATGGTGATTTTTAAAACTCATTTCTTGTTCTGCCTTAACAGTGATCCACAGTTGGAATCTGTTCCTTCTGGCGACGGCCTTGGTGCCTCTGTTCACTGGAGTCGCCTTCCTCTGTCTGCCTGAGAGTCCGAAGTTCCTGATGTCGAGAGGACGTAACGATGAAGCCTTGAAGATCTTCAGTAAGATATACAGCATGAACACTGGCAGACCGGCGCAGGAATTCCCTGTAAGTGACATTATGTACATGACAGCTGCTGCATTTCGCCATCGTACATCGCGACAAAAATTTCATCCCCATCATCTTGATGCGTGGCTATCCACAACCGTGCGTTTTTGTCGAAATTTTTTCCACGTACGACAAAACTGTGGAATATATTGTCGCCAGCAGTGTATCCGGACCGATACGACACGAAAACCTTCAAAAAAAGAGCGTACTCCTTCCTGAAAGGCCGGCATCGCATTTGTGATACTCCTGGTGTTGCAAGTGTCCATGGGCGACGGTGATCACTTACCATCAAGTGAGCCGTCTGCTCGTATGTCCCCTATAACATAAAAAAAAAACAGATTTAGATCAGTATGGGAAATTCCATATTGTTTCGACTCCTGAGTGGATTTTCGTCTTTTTTTATGTATTTTATATAGTGAAACTTTTTTTCGGACGGGGAGTAAATGGATAAATCCTATGGAAAAAATTAAACGGAGTTGCGTCATGAGCGTCAGACGACTACATAAATATATATATATGTGTGTGTGTGTGTGTGTGTGTTGGATGCGTGCTGCCCTTCCCGACGAGCATAAAAGTTGGAGGGTAACTCGGCGAAGGCTGAACTCTACGAGCGTCTCGAACGTCACACGTTACAATAAATATATATGTTATGGGCCAAGTAATTAATGCGGGCAGTATTCATAATGCCAGGACAGTATGAATAATGCCCCGCCATATCGGGCCAAGTGATTAATTACAATCTAAACTCACCTATTTCTCACATTGCCCGGTCATTATTAATAATGCCGGACGGCTCGTGGTCCATGTAATAAGTCGATGTTTGAGATAGCTTGAATTTATCGCTTGGACCGACCTTTATATTTATTCATACCAGTATGAATAAATTCAAAAAGTTGGTACTATTGTCAAAATGATAGATGTCTCGCCATTTTGTGTTTGTTTTGAGATCTTGGTAAACAAAAAATAGTATGGGCTCAACACTTAGAAAAAAAGGTAAATGTGGCTTTACAACAGTCCTTAATTCAGAACCGACTTGGTCAACTCCGACACGATGTGGTCTTGGTCTGCCCTACCCCTAGAGTGTTTTTTAGAGCCCGGAGGCGCGAAGGGACAGCAGCCCCCGCCTGCTGTGACAAAGCCGCAACAATCGTACGACCCGTAGCGCCTGAGGCTAGCCGCCGGCGGCGACCAACAATGCGAAGGTGTGAAGGGGAGTGATGCTTGTGACTTTGTCACGCAAAGGCGGAGGGGCCTCCCGCAGCGCTGGAGATAAGGCAGAAGTACTAGTTCTTACTTCCCTAGTCCTTGCATCCTAGAGAATAGGGAACCATAAATTCTGAACATTTAGCAGATTTAATGAATTTTTCAAACAAACTGCATTGAAACTACTATAGACTATAGTTTCTAAATGTAGTCGTTCGTAAATTGATCGAAGTAAAACCGAAGTCTGATTATTTTAATTTTAAAAATAAATACTAAACTATAAAACATGTTTTTATTATTACTTTACCCGATAATAGATTTAATTACTTGTAATGCTCGGTCTATCTAACTAAGTATTCATTTGAAAGTATTAAACATGCTTCACATCACTCTGCCCAATAGGCACTTGACATTATTCATAATGCCCGGGCAATATGATAAATTGATTGGTTATAATCACATTGCCCGCTCTTATTGGGCATTATTCATATTGTCCGGGCATTATGAATAACACCCGATTAATAGCCTATAACATATATAGGCTATTAATCGGGTCATGCCACAAACATATGAGTGAATTGCCTGCGCTTCTCCGTTCCCCTATGCCTTAAGCACCACCTAATTAAGTTATTTAACAAAAGAAGTTTCAGTTCGCGACTCGCGACTTCGTATGTGTGGTTCAATTGATTTTCCATACAAACTTTCACCCCCTTTTCACCGGAAATTAGAATTTGACCTTCAAAAAATCATATCGAAAAAAATAAGAATATATTTTTAAAAGGATTTGTATATAACATGAACAGATCAAGCGCCTAGTTGAAGAAAAACCCCAAGAGTTAGGTCGTGGGCTCGCAGCATTGAAAGGGGGGCTGTCTCAGCTCGCGCCCCTGTTCCAGCCCCCCCACCTCAAGTGGCTGGTGGTGATCTGCGTCATACACGTGGGATGTATGTTTGGGTGAGTTTTGGTATTATTGAACAGCAGATTTTATAACCTTTACGTGGACCAGCTGGTCCGTGAGCTCAGCGGCATGCATGCGGGATGTTCAATCGATGGCGTTAATGTCAACAACATCAGTTACGCGGACGATATGGTGCTGCTGAGCCCGTCGATCAGTGCGCTCCGGAGTTTGTTGCACGTGTGTGAGACCTATGCGAAAGTTCACGGGCTAAAATATAACACTACAAAAAGTGAGATAATGGTTTTCACCGCGGGTAACAATTCTCCACAAAATGTGCCTCCTGTCAGGCTATGCGGGGAGGAGTTGTTGAGGGTTCAGCAGTACAGATACCTGGGCCATATTTTAACAGAAGACCTGAAGGATGACCAAGATATTGAGCGAGAGCGTAGGGCGTTGGCGGTCAGAAGCAACATGATCGCCCGTAGGTTTGCACGGTCTTCAGAGCCAGTTAAGTTAACCCTTTTTAAGGCTTTCTGCCAATCTTTTTACACTGGCAGCCTATGGGTGAGTTATAAGCAGAAGACATACAACGCACTACGTGTACAGTATAATAATGCTTTCAGGATGTTGTTGGGGCTGCCGTGGCGCTGCAGCGCGTCAGGTATGTTTGCCGAAGCGCGAACAAATGATTTCTACGCAATAATGCGCAAAAAAGTTACCTCTCTCATGAAGAGAGTTTATGACAGCCACAATAACATCTTGAAGGTTGTAGGGGGCAGGTACGAGTGTCCTATAAGTAATCACTGGACAACTGTACTTGTAAAATATAATGAAATGCAATAACTTAATAATGTAGGTAATTATTATGAATTTTTAATGTTAATTTTGTAATTATTTTTATTGACATTGTAATTTTGTATTTATTTGAATTATTTTGTTGTTGACATTTCTAATTTTGTATTTATTGTATTTTTGATTGTAATTTGTATGCTTTTATAATTATTATTCTTGTTTTTTTTTATGTGGTTTATATGGCTAAATGGCTGAAATAAATGAATTGAATTGAATAACAACATTACATCATCATCATCAGCCTATGAATGTCTCCACTGCTGGGGTACAGTTCTCCTTCACTACGGTTAGCATAGAGAATGAGCCATGACCCACCACGCAAGCCCAATGCGGTTGGTTTTACGTGCCTTTTGAAGCACAGAGAAGCTCGTGATAATGAATTTTGGTCACCCATCTAATGACTGATCACTGCGAAAGTTGCAAGATCGCAGACTAACCGCGCTTAGCACTTGCACGTGCTTCTCCATATATCCATTCTACATAACTTAAAAAGGCAGAGCTGGCTGTATGCCTTGTCTGTTCTTTTTCATAATAATGGCATAGCTTTTTGATTTTCACGAATAATAAGTACTATACCTATCGCATTCGCACCACACTCTCAGCTACGCTATATATTGACTCTCCATGATATAAGTAAAGCATTAGTTACATCTTCAATTTCCATCGCAAACAGGGTGCCACCCTCCATGACAACTCAAGTGGCAACGGTTGAGTCTTAAAAGGAGACCCGGCACTTTTCATAGAAAAAATGCTAAACTTGTATACAGTTGAATTTGGTCTCAAAATAAAGCCAAAATTATTTGCTACATAAAACTACTTTTGCCTTATTTTTAGTGAATCGTGGATAGTATTTATTTAATGATTAATATTTTTTGATATAGAAACCCTTTTGATGACAAACCTACGTATTTGACATTGACAGCTAGCTGCTGATGACAAATATTGCCAGACTATGTTACCCAATTATGAAACACAGATAAAAAAATTAAAAAGTATACAAGTTTGGCACAAAATGCCGGGTGTCCTTTATCTGACAGTAATGATGTGGGAAGCTTTATGGAACTGCCAATAATTCTTTGCAACTTTTCATGATAGAATATGTGAACAAAAGAAACAACTTTGTCATCAAATTATGTATAACATATTCTATGAAACAAATGTTTATCTTGACTTATACTTATTAAGTTTAAACTTATTGCATGCCGATAAGGCGGAATATGGTTGTGCTGTACTAAAATATATCTATGATATATTATAGTTTATATGATAACAACTTTGTTACCTGTATTCGCAATAAAGATGATTTGATTTGATCAAATTATCTAACTGTTATGGAAAGGGCTATGCTCGGCGTTTCTCTGAAGGATCGCATCAGAAATAAGGTAATCCGACAGAGAACCAGATTTAACGACATAGCCCACCGGATTAGTAAGTTGCAGTGGCAGTGGGCTGGCCATATTTGTCGAAGAACCGATAACCATTGGGGTAGACGAGTTCTGGAGTGGAGACCGCGTCTAGGTAAACGTAGTGTAGAACGTCCTTAGTTACGATGGAATGACGATTTGCGCAAGGTGGCTGACAGGAGCTGGATACGAGTAGCCCAAGATCAATCTAAGTGGCGTGCAATTGGAGAGGCCTATGTCCAGCAGTTGACTAGGATAGGCTGTTGATAATGATCTAACTGTCATCATCATCATCATCGACCCATGCTCGTCCACTGCTGGACATAGGTCTCTCCTAATGCACGCCACTGCTCCCGATTTTCTGCCACTCTCATCCAGCCGACTCCAGCCAGCCTTCGAATGTCATCATCCCATCTTGTCTCAGGGCGTCCCACACTACGTTTACCGAGTCGCGGTCTCCACTCAAGAACTTTACGGCTCCATCGGCCGTCAGTTCTGCGGCTAATGTGACCAGCCCACTGCCACTTCAGTTTGCTAATTCGGTGGGCTATGTCGGTGACTCTGGTTCTCTGTCGGATTACATCCTTTCTGATGCGGTCCTTCAGGGATACTCCGAGCATAGCCCTTTCCATAGCTCTCTGAGTGACTTTAAACTGGTGGACCAGTCCAACCGTGAGTGTCCACGTCTCGGCGCCGTATGTCATAGCTGGGAGGACGCACTGGTCGAAGAATTTCGACTTAAGACATTGAGGGATGGGTGACGAGAAGACTTGACGAAGCTTATGAAATGCTGCCCAGCCCAACTAAATTCTTCTATTGGCTTCTCTCTCAAAGTTGTAGATCTAACTGTATTGGTCCCTAAAAGGTCGAACACGATACGGCTTTGGTATCCTCACTTGGCGGCTATGATCGACTCCAGCGCAGGCGGTCTGTGCGCGGCTCTGGAGCCTGCCGCGCCCTCTCTACCTGGCGACTGCGCTCCTCTCCACACAGACATGGGGACTTATCTGCAGAGCGCAGTGGTTGGAGCCGGCTCCGTGCTCACGTATAGCATCGGTGGAGCTTTCATTAACAAGTGAGTGCTTTGCCAGTGTCTTTGCGTCTTGTGTGATAATTCTATCAGGGCACTACTACAGCTGTCGCGATACTGTTTTCGCGGATGAGCAAACTAACAGATATTTTGCGCAAAGTGCCAGGTTTCCAATCTTTTTTGGAGTTTACTCCTTAAGAATCGATTTGCATATATAAGGGGCCCGGTATGAGAAAAATGTGAAGAGTAAAATCTATCGATGAATGACCTCGTTACGTTTTTGGTGCGCATCCTATGTCGCGCAACTTTGACAAACAAAGATGACGGATTGACATTAATATTTTTTTTTTAAATCTGAACTGAATTTAGATATTGTTTCTGATAGAGCAATAGGAACAACGAGGTATGGTACAACCATTGATGCGGTATTTTCAAGATTCGTGAACCACGTATCTACGAACGTCCATGTGTCTTATTTTAGTTACCATAAACCACTTGTCACTGTAATTAATAATGCAGACAATGTTGAGTTAATTAATATTTAAAAAAATGATAATAATCTGATAATAATAAGTACACAATTTATCAACATTCCTAATGATATATTTATGCACATCTGCAATTGACTATTGTAAAAAGTTTAATGTAAAATATTTCGTCGATTAATTATAATAAATGTGTATGAAATGAATAAATATATATTTATATATGTATATTATTTTCATTAATTTGTTAATTTACCCTTTCATACAGTATCAATTTTTTTTTAAGTTAAATAAACTCTTTTTGCGACTGGTTAGACTATCAAACTTAAGGAGTAAACTCCAGTCGTGCGTCGGAGCTGACACACACAATTTTTTTTTTATGTACGAAATGCAGTTACCACATATTACTTCCTGTTAAATATTAGCGGAGTTAGAAATTATACTTAGTCACAAACTAAAACTGTTAGGCTTCTTTCTTTGCTTCCAAACACTATAATTATGTTGGCCAAGCGAAGGTCAGTACCAACGTATCAGTCTTGCCTCGTCATCGCTCAGTATTATCACTTGCCTAATTTGCCGTATAAAGAGAAGCGCCAATGTGTATAGACCTCAATTGGCATCGCTTGTGGCACTCGCCAATATTTGTCTCACGTCGTCCATAATAACCGATAGCACACCAACGTATGGGCAGTTCCACAAAGAGTGTCTGTATTAGCCACTTGCATTGGTCTTCCAACTTCCAACATACCCAAGTCTAGATGGCACTTGCCTTGTATCTGCCAATCCTCGCGTTGGCATAAATCTTCCAACTTCCAACATGCCCAAGTCAAGATGGCACTTGCCTTGTATCACTTTGCCAATCCTCGCGTTGGCATAAACTCGGCCAAGACTATTTGGCTTTAAGTGTTCGCCGTCGCCCATGGACGTAAGCAATACTAGTAACATAGGGGCCGTCCATAAATTACGTCATCGATTTTTTCAGATTTTAGACCCCTCCCCCCCTACAATCATCCTATCGTCATTTCTTAATGCCCCCCCCCCCCCCAAAATTGACGTCATTACCAGTTTGACAAAATTAAAACATTGCAGATTTGAGAAAAGCTAGTATTATATGTAATACTAGCTTTTGCCCGCGACTTCGTCCGCGTTATCGTCGTTTTTCGTAAAAAAGTAGCATATGTCCTTCCTCAGGGTTCCGTGGTTTTGATGTGATAGACAGATTAACTTTCGTATTTTAGTAGGGAAATATAATACTGTTAAAAATATCGCAATAAGGAACCGCAGAATATTATTATTATCACTGTGCCCCGAGACCATCAGCGTGTAACTCCTTGTATGTTATTATGTTAATGTATTGGTAATATTGTTTAGATCGCTTTCACATGAGTCTTAAGTACATATAGAATGAAAATACTTCAGCGCAAAGCTTCCGGGTAGACTACGTTGAAATTTGACCCGTCCGGAACGTGAACATAAAAAAATCTAGGACTGCTAACCCGGGAAAGACCGACATAACTGACCATGTGAAAAACAACTGACACCGAGATCTACTCCAACAACACGAAAGGTCTGCCCTTGAGGCTTATTTATTGTCATAAACACACCAATACTGGGAATTGCGTTCTTTTAAATTGGAATGGAAAATTATTTGGTATTATGGGAATTCTGGGAATAAAGATGGTTTCTCCTGCACCGCAACCTATTAAAATTTGAGCCTCGATTACATTTTGTTGCAACTGGGTTACTTTAAGCCGAGTTCCATTGCAAATTTGTGGTGGTCTTAAATTTCGGAGCAGAATAATCGTAATGCCAATTTTTAAACAAATTTCATGAGAAGGAAGTACGGGCATATTTAAAGAATTTAAAAATTCTATCGGGTAATTAGTGGCTTCTTGTTCATCGGCCATTCTATTTATTGAACTATAAACTTTGCTTTCCCCCTGGATATTCGACAGTATTTTATTATTAATCTCAGATGCCTGGTCATTGCGAGGAGTTAAAATGGATCTTTCGCATAGCCAAGAATTGTACTTATTTAATATATTTGTTACGTCACCGTAAACTGACGATGTAAGATGTCGTTGGGATTGCACTATACAACATAACTCAGGCGTCAGAATAAGTTTTCCTTGGTGTAGCAGTGGATAGGTTTCTTTGGTGAAGGTATTTTCTTTAATAATATATCAGAAAATTCACGATCATCCGGGTTATCTACAGTTCTCACTCGCATGTTTATAGTCAAATGCACCGATTGTATATCACGCCACAAATAAGAGCTTTTCAGGCAAGCCCTAACCTCAGCAGCTCGTTTTCCCCGTGGTATTACCGTTAAGGTTTGTCGGAAATCACCACAAAATAAAACTGTGATACCGCCCATGGGTCGATCATTTTGTCTTATATCTCTTAAAGTTCTGTCTACCGCTTCTACTCCTTTTCGATGGGCCATCGTACATTCATCCTATATGACTAAATTACACTTTGAACGAATATTTAAACACTACCAAAACAACTAATACGTGGTCCTAACTTTAGCTACCTTACACATAAAATCTAAGTGACTATTTGAACTAAAATATTCTTATAGAATTATAACCAGAAATATATACAACTCACAACAAAAAAGAAATGAAAATAAAGCTGAAACGCCTGTGCAATACTATCTACCTATACCTCCTTCACTTAAAAATAAATACTTATAACTACTTTAATTAATAAAAGTACCTACGCTTAATAATTTTTAATTTGAACGAATATTTAAACACTACCAAAACAACTAATATCTGATTTACAAAATAACAACAAAAGAAATTCAAATAAACTATTTAAAGACTAAAAGTCGCGCTGATAAGCACGGTTTCGGTCTCCCAGACGGGGGAGCAGATGAGAAATCCTCATGGATACCCTACAGCCGGCTGCAAGGTTATGTCAGACTCGTACTGACTAAAAAACACCCGTAGGGGCTGCCTCTGGCCGGGAAGGCCTCTAAGGCTTCATCGGAAGCGATCGTCCCCCAGGGGGGGAGCGACGCAGAAAACAGATTTAGACAGCTCGCTCTCGGACCTTTGATACCCTACCGCTGCCGCGACCCGTGTCGAGCGCGGCAACCGTTACACAAAAATAATCCTTATAGCATGATTCAGTATTCACGTGCGACGGCGCGATGGCTTATTTCATGTATAAGTTTGGTGTTTCTATACCGAGAATTATAAACGTAAGAGTAAACAAATATGATCAGAATGCTCCGAACTGCTAAGCTATCGGGAGTTACACGTGTTATTATGAGTCAACCATAAAAGATAGACATATGCTGTTGCGGGATATTTTTTAGACAATTTTATGTAGAATATTTCCGTCGTACATGATTTCTATGTAACTTTAATCATTAAGGCTGCACACGCGACGGAAGCTTAAAAAATGGAGTAACTTCTCCCGTTTTCCCAACATTTCCCTTCACTACTCTGCTCCTACTGATTGTAGCGTGATGAAAAGTATACTATAACCTGCCCAGGAGTATGAAGAATAATTGTACCAAGTTTCGTTAAAATCCGTCGAGTAGTTTTTGTTTCTATAAGGAACAAACACACAGACAGACAGACAGACAGACAAAAAATTTACTGATTGCATTTTTGGCATCAGTATCGATCACTAATCACCCCCTGATAGTTATTTTAAAAATATATTTCATGTACAGAATTGACATCTCTACAGATTTATTATAAGTATAGATTATTGTTAGAGTATTTTATCTGTAGGTATTACTGTATTTGTGTACATCTATGTTGCATTATGTATGTTTATTATGAGTTATTTTAGTATTGTACGCGCCTTAGCCGCCTCTCACATTTGCAGTCTCACTTACTAGGTGTGCTGGATAATTTCTTTTTAGAAATAATCTTTTTGTACGTGAACAATAAACTATAAATAAATAAATAAGAATGACGTCAATTTCGAAACACCACCCCCCCCTATCTATCATTTACCGTCATCCGCAGACTAACCCCCCCCCCCCTAATTTATAAATAAATAAATAAATAAATATTACCAACACTCACACCAATTAGCCTTGCCCCAAAGTAAGCACTGTAAGGCTTGTGTTATGGGATACTAGGATAACGGATAGAATACATATACAATACATATATAAGTATATTTATATAGAAATACATATTAAACATCCATGACTGGAGTACAAATGCTCGTATTCATCACACAAACACCTGCCCCCACCGAGACTCGAACCCGGGACCTCTCGAATTGGCGACACCTTGAAACCCGGCGTACAAACCACTCGGCCACGGAGGTCGTCAAATTTAGAAAGACGTAATATATGGACAGCCCCATAGCCATGCCATGCCATTGTTAGGCATAGATTATAGCTGTGTTTCTTGAACAGATGCGGTAAGAAGATAGTAGTGGGCATGTGTGGTGCTTGGAGCGCGGCACTGGTGCTGGCGTTACCCCTGTGTGGCGACTCAGTGGCGGTGGCGGCCACGGTGACTGCTGCGATGGCCTTCACCGCATTGTATGGAGCCGCGCTATCCAGCGTCACAGTCGATCTGTTCCCTACCTCACTGCGGTAAGTAAGCGGTTGAAATGGTTAGGTATCTCTTATAAGACAAGTCCGTCCGTCCGTCTGTCTGTGGTGCTGTTTCAGCGGCCAAACCGTAAGAGATAGATAAAGAGAATATTTAAGTTATAAGTTAAGAATAGTCTGATAAGACTACAAACCGGATTTGAGTAACGTAGCACTTCCGGTTTTCGAGAAATCACGAATTTCAAACGAAACCACACAAAATCTCCGAAGTTCTGAATTAATTAAATACATTTTTTTTGTTTTTTTTTTTTAAATCAAGTTTTGGTGAACATTTGGTTCACTGGTTTGCTAGTATCAAATAATAAATACATTGTAATGTTAAACTCTGCTTTTATTTCATTCATTCATTCACATTCTCTAAAGGTAATACAACGCATGACATAAAAAGATTTTCTGGAAACGGAAGTAAAAGTGAGGTGCACAGAATAGGTAGATTATATGAGGTTCTTCCCGACAATGATAGATGGCGCTACGTGTAACACTTAATATATGATTATAAAATTTACCTAATTACAACAATAATAGCTGACGCGGTGGCGGTGGCGGCCACGGTGACCGCTGCGATGGCGTTTACCAAGCTCTCCAGAGTTACCATCGATATCGAGCCCTTACCGCCAAATTATCGTAAGCGACACTCGCCAAATTATCGTAAGCGACACTTTTGTCGAAATACGTTTTTTTGTGGAAACTAATATTTTAAACCGTAACGGACCCATCTCTGTTGATATTTCCCTCTATTCTTCCCTCTATTATATTATAACGGTGTTCTTTTGGAGGGAAATATCAACAGAGATGGGTCCGTTACGGTTTAAAATATTAGTTTCCACAAAAAACGCATTTCGACAAAAGTGTCGCTTACGATAATTTGGCGAGTGTCGCTTACGATAATTTGGCGGTAAGGGCTCGATATGTTCCCCACCTCGCTGAAGTCAGTATGCGGTACATAACTGCTGCAGGCACAGTAAAGCTGCCACTGCTGTCTCAATAGCATTTATTTCTAATCTCACTTATGATATCAAAAAGCTATACGCGGAAACCGTATGTTAAAGAAACTGCTTACTTTATTTTAAAATGAAAGTGTTCTCACAGTTTTTAAGAGTGTGAAATCTTTTATGGGAGCTTATTTCCATGATACAATCGTAACTTAATCAATCGGTTAATTATAAACTTTGTCAGACAGATATGCAAAAATTTTGATTTGTTATAGAAAGATTAATAATGTAGTTTGAAAGTTGAACTTTGGAGCTGGAAAGATTCTACCACAATTACGCACCACACAAGACATTGTACTTACTAGCAGAAGTTGCAGGAGAAAACAAAACTCGACAGCTGACTTGTTTACTATCCCAGGCGACCTTACAAATCCTTTTTTGCAATCATCAGTTTTTGCAGTACGCAATTTTACAAGGGTTGTTTATTTCAGGGTGATGGCAATGGCTACCTTTCTGATGTGCGGCCGCTTGGGCACTATAGCTGGCACCGTCACCTTCCCGGCACTCATCACCTTCGGATGCTGGCCGCCCTTCATCACCATCGCTGCTGTGCTGGGAGGTAACCATTATCACCAGCTGTTAATATCTTCACTGCTGAGGCACAAGCCTTCCCTGCGGATCCTAGGAACGGCGGCCCTAACCTCTAGTAGTTCTGCCCTACAAAGGGGGGCGGCAGAGGGTTGCTTGGGGGCGATACGGTGGGCACTAGGCCCCGCAATACCTCGGGAGACCCCTGCCGTGGAGCCCCGGCGAGGCCGGGAAACTGCTGGGTGCGCAGTCGTGGTAGAATCCCTAACGGGGACCCCGCGGCTTCACATAAAGCAGTGTTGAAGGTATTCGAAGGACTTTTTTAGCGGATATTATGCCGTAAAGCGCCCGTAAGAGTTGCAGGGAGGAGGAGGTGGGCAGCCACTGGGGGTCCGAAAGACTTGCGGGACAGGTGTGAGGTTCGTTCGGCGGTGTGCCTCTTAAAGGCGACGTCGTCTGTAAAAATTTTTTTACCTACGTTGTAAAAAAAAGGCGGCGCCATAACGGACGTAACGAGAAATAAAATCAGTACACATTTGACAATGACATTTCGGACTCGCAAATGTAACGAATTCGATATTGGTTCGTGCTACGGGTACAGAATGATCGGCGAAAATGGTGTGAAAAATGCTCCGCGCGAAAATTTATTATATCTCCCTTACTGAAAATAAACACACCAAGAAATAAGGTGAAACTATAAAGACCCGTACTTATTCTTTGCATTGTAATGCACATAACCTGTCCGTGAAATATTGGCGTCGATTCTGACGTGATTCTCTAAACTTAAAACTAAATTTGACATCAGTGTCTCCTTTTCATTCTGTATAGAGAATGACAAGGATACACTGTTGTCAAATTTAAGTTTAGATTTAGAGAATCGTGCCAGAATCGGCACCAATACCTTACGATGAAAACCCGTTCGAAAGCTTTTAAGATCACAGCGTACAACAGGCGCGGCAGGAACTTTTTTTGTGAATTAAAGTAATTTATTGGAAATTCCACTATAAGAGTTTGAAACTTTGGACAACATCTGTAAATCTCATCTCACCTATATTTCATGTTCCATCTATGAATTTTCGTTACATACAGCGCCCTCTATGCAGTAAGTATAAGAACTAAATACGTGACAGAAAAGCATACTATTCTAGCAGTGAGGCCGAGGTTAAGTTCTTTAATTTGAGTGAAGATGGCACGATCAACATTAAAAGTAAAATAATGATAAAATTAATTCTATTAATAGGTAGCCTTGTAATTACATTAGAAGTGTACTCCACAAATTATAGTAAAGGAATATTGCCACAGATGACAGATACCTATTTCACACCACAGACATTCTGTTAAATTCTACTAAGCAAAAATCAGTGACCTTAATAGTCTGCGCGGAAAGAGAAGGCGTGGCGAAAAACGGAACTAACATTAAGATTTTTATTTGGCAATCAAACCCAGCAATCTGTAAAACGTCAAAGTTTTGTATTGATACAGATTTGTTTGTTGTTGTGATTTCTTGCGGTTTTTTGTATTTAATCATATCTAAAAGGGGTAAAACCTTACAAATACGGTAGAAAAGCACTACAGCGCCCCCCAATCTAAATCCCATTCTGCCGCTCGCAGAAAATATTTATTATTATTATAAAACGAAAAAATATTTGATTAGTTTAGGCTGTTTCAAGCACTCATGAATGTCTAGAAACTACACCATCGGTTCGTAAATCTACAGCGGAAGACGTTGTACTGAGAAAAATCGGCTAGAAACTCAGCAAGGGCTGTGTTTTTCTTCCTGTATTATTATTTACAGAGTCGTCAAGTTGAAAAATGACTTCAGAGATGATTCATAAAATATCCGTCCGCCTGTTGTATGGACGGCTTTCTGTATCTCTATTTCTATTATTTATTTTATAATAATATGAGGTTTATACAAACCTAGCCCTATTCTTGGTTAGAGTCTCATTTCAAAGTTCAAGCTGCACCTATAAAAAAAACACCAAATGGATTTTATTGCAAAAACTGATTTTTTTTCCCGTTTACAACTCGACCACTGTTAGGGCAATTGTTAACGGACGAAAACTACCTGGGTCTATTCACAGTACCTTCAAAACGAAGCAATATCGAATTCGGATAGCTTGCGAGTGCGAAATGTCAATGTCAAATTTTGTATGGAAACTCGAACAGTAGCGCCTCGACGAACGTAACGGGAACTAAAAATCAGTACCTACATCATGCGCCGATTGGCTCTCCAGTCGTACCCATGCACAGATTTACGTGCCGTGACCTGTACAATATACATCCTTGAATCATCGTTAATATTTTAACCAATATTAGCTGTCATAACTATTGTAGTATATTGGTTTAGCGAAATCCTATATTGATTGTAGACAATATGGAGATGGTAGGATTATAATTTTTTTGGCCTTTATTATTTTTCAGTCTGTGGTATAGCGTGCTATCTCCTTCCCAACACAACCTTGAAGAAATTGGAATAAGGAAGAACATGGGTGGTGGAAGAAGATAAGTTATAGAAAATCACGGATAAAAATTGACTGATTTCATTGTTTTTTATTCATCTTTGCTTTTAATTTAATAAATTTATTAAATTAATGATTTGAATGAGTTCAAAAAACATGACTGTCCTGCCAAAGAAAATAAATCAAAAGTCGGAAATAAGTTAAAAGTTAAAAAGTTGTAGCAGTCGAGGGATCTCATAAATTAAAAAAAAGTGACCCGCAGAACACAGTTTATGTTTTGCCAATGTTTTTTTTTAATTCTGTAAACAGATTTTGAAGGCAAAGATGAAATGAATTTATTAGAGTATACAACAAAGTTGTAAAGTTCATATAATATTTATAATATAGTTTTGGAATAAACTCATCAACGTCTTTATTACAATGTCTATATTATTATTGTAATAATTAAAGTATTTTTTTTATCTAGTATGCCTGGTACTTTTTTAAAATCATGTGTGTGTATTATAAGTCTTAACTAAAATATGTATAGAATGGTTAAACTGTATAATTTTAAAGTTTGTATGATATTAAAATTTATATAAATAAATTTAAAACCTAAGGTCTCGTCTTTGTAATGCATACTAACAACAAATAGTTAATTTTTAAGACGAATTGTAAATAATCTTAGCCTGTATTATAAAATGGTGTGATGAAAATAAAAATGCGAACTTTTTTAAAAATATTTCTCTTTCTTTATTTATAATTTATCATAAAACTAATCTCTTCCATCGTCAAAGTTACACTTAGAAGTAACAGGCGATTTGAGGAGCCTTCAATACGTTACGCACCAGGTAAACAACTGTTGACAATGTGCTTTTTGTTGTTAAGTGTCACAACGACTATTACACTGCGAGCCAAAATAATGGTACTTTGTTAATTCGTCACTTATAAAAATTGAACACTATCTAAGATCTATATTTGCCAGTAAAATTATCACCTTTCGTATTTGAAACGAACATAGCTTTTTAAAAAGAAAAAAAGGATTTTGTTACATAAAGCACATAGTCAACAATTTTTCATGATGGTTAAATAAGGCGCTAGGTACCTACGTCGTCAGTCTAACGTAATGACTAAACAGCGTTTTGTTATTTTTACATTGAAATTTGTAAATAATTATTGAAACAATATTCATATGACTTATTTGAACTGGCTTGCATTTTGTGACTAAACAAAAAAGTCCAATATATATTTAGCTATGATTTTTTTTTTCATAAAAAGGCCAGTGCGCAGTTGATCATCTATTATTTTATTTATTTATTATTTCGGTAAGGGATTAAAATATTCATCAAATATATTTTTTTCTAATAAAAATCTGACCTTTCAGTTTAAACAGTTTCATTACCTACATGTTATGACAAAGCAAGGTTTTTTATAAAGACTAGAATGAATGTTATTGTCAACTCACTTTGTCTCCAAGCAATACACTCATAAATTCGAGCATCTTTACAAAGTATTTGTATATAATTACATATACTTATTTATAGGCCAGTGAAATTGACTGTTTATTACCCTATATTTATGTATAAATTTTGGATTATCCCTTTAATCATATATTATATATATTCTGAATACAACGCAAGGCACAATGTTCGAAATCAGGTATTACAATTATTAAACCTAAGTATCTATTCTGTTTAAAATCCACGATTGCACTATTTTTCAATACACTTTAATGTTAACATTGGCAGATCTTCGATTATAAACAACTAAAAGATTAAGATCAATGTGTGATTATGTCTAATGAAAAACTATATTTTGACAGTTTATTAATTTCTGGTTTTGCTCCCATGACGCGACGCACATGACACGTACTGAGACAAACTTTATCATTATTCCCTGGAGTCAGTTAAAAATGCTTATCACACAGCCTTCTTCACAATATATAACTGTTAACCAACACGCGATACAACAACAAAAAGATTGTGTCAAATTATTATTTTTGTACAAATAGAAATAATATTATATACAGGTCGCGGCACATAACTCTAGCGCTGAACAAAACGCTGGGGGGATAGCTTCGCATGGGTACGACTGGAGAGACAATCGGCTCAACAATGGCCCACCCGCTCGTTTCCCCCCAACACATCTTTATTTTTAGGGTTCCGTACCTCAAAAGGAAAAAGCGAAACCCTTATAGGATCACTTTGTCCGTCCGTCCGTCTGTCAAGACCGTTTTTTTTCAAGAACGCGTGGAGGTATCAAACTGAAATTCATATCTAATACTCAGGTCTACTCTACCTTGGAGCTGTAAAAAAATCAAACTTCTAAGCAAAAGCAATCAAAAGATCCAGCCGTTTATGCCGCAATTTTCCGCAAATTTTCGAAACTTGCACGGTAATCAAAACCTACAGTGTACTTCCCGTGAACTTAGAATCTTGAAATTTGGTACGAAGTAACGTCTTGTAGTACAGGTAAAGAAAAACATGCGAAAACCGTAAATTTTTAGTTCAAAACTATTTTTGAAATATCAGGTTTGTACGGAACCCTCAGTGCGCGAGTCCTACTCGGACTTGGCCGGTTTTTACTTCTGCGCAATAACGGTCTGAGCTAGAGTTTCGTGCCACGACTCATACTGTGACACAGACGAAGAAATTTCTAGAAACTTCACGTCGAGTATCTGCAGTACAAACTAATTCAGGCTTTAGTAGTACGGCGTGTGTATATGGCTTGGGGTAGTCCCAAAGCCATAGAAAAGGGAATTTGCCAGTTACCTCGACCTTTTTATAAGGATTTAGTTGTATGTGAGTACTTTAAAGGAGGTCTCTTATGCTCAGTATAGTTTGTTTTATCATTTTTGAAGCAAATTCTATACAAATACGTTAGTACGATGTATAGGGAACTCATTGTATTGTGTTTGGTGCAGTTGTTGAGTTTTCTGTGTTGGCATTACTTAATTTATTCGAACCTCGTATTGTTTAGAAAAGAAAATAAAGAACTAATTTTGATTTAAAACAAAACTCTATCATCATTATAGATTTCATAATTGCTTCGATGTGAATATGTGTGTTTTTGTATGGAGTTAAGTGCAGTTACTATGTATGTTTTGTATTGGCAAATAAAAATCGGTCAAGTTCAAACTGGCAATAAATTATTTCGAATCCCACCCCGACACGTAAAAACACTATACACTAAGCTTAAATAATTTACAATCTAAGGTAAGGCATATTTCATAATTATAAATAGTAAATTTTACATATAATATAGTACATACAACTTTTATATATACAGTCTCGCGTAGTCTTAAAGCCGAGCTCTTTACAACATATTATACAACTTAATGAAATTGTATAGTTGACTATAGCTATGGTACAATTATCACGGAGTAAGGCCCCATAACATCCATGGCTCAGTATGTTGAGAAAACAGTGTTTCTTTTAAGGAACTCCACGACAAAATTGGCTTATCCAATCTGGGAGAGTAGCCAGACTAGTGAATGATGAAGTTGTATGAATGATGAATGCTGATGATAAATGTTCACACTGTTCCCTCGCATCGTTTTAACACCACTGCAATATTTTAACAAATCACTACATTAAAATACCAATCGTCGACTTTATAAGGCCTCGTATCGTGGTTACGCGCGGTAGCTTTGAAACCAAAAAAAAAACATTATTTACATTTTGTGGTGTATCGTGGTTTGTTGCGTTCATGCATAATTTAAATAAATACATCTCCCCCAATAAGGGGTTAACCGATGCCCGAAACATGGGCCCTGTCAAACACAACTGCAACAAAAAATCCATTAAATATCCCTAACTACACGTGACGACATTAAGAATCGGCTGCACTGCTACAATAAAAGTTGTCCATCATTATTTTCAAACAGAGTGAAATTTCAAATATTAGGTGAAAATTCGTGCAGGCTATTTTTAATGTCCCCAAGTGTACAACGAATTCATTGAATAAAACAATAATAAGTCCACGACTTAAATAAAAACCGAGTCTCAACGAGAGTTCATTCATATTCAAACAACGAAAAAAAAACGTCTTCGCACTGCATCACTATTGTTTTGTGAAGTACAAATAGTCTTATAAATATAGTTATTCACAATCCGACGACGACCGTTTCGGACAAAGTATCTCTAACTGTTCACACCTCACAATTTCAATTGTGATTTGGAAAGTAATATACACATAGAAAAGTATAATGTCTATTTCGTCCACTCTACTGCACTACAGGTTGCAACCTCCTCAATTTTGCTGGGTAGCCGAGCTGGGCATCGTCATCGTCAGCTCGGCGGCGCAAGCAGCACCTCGAGCCAGCACGGGCAGGCGGTGACGTCACGGCGCGAGTACTTCGGCCCCCAGCCTTTAGCGAAGGATATTCGCACGGACAGCGGGTCTACCGGCCCAATGTGGGGTAGACTGCGAGCGGCAGGGGGGCGCTGTGGGTCAAAGATGCACAAGCAGTGCGCCGGCGCAACTCTCCACACAAGCAACGCCTTCGCCGCCTCCGCGTCCAGCGCCGGAGAGCTCACAAACACTGGCTCCTGGCTCCGGTTGTAAAGCCACACGCCGTCAGATTCGAGGGACAGGGTCACACCTAGACCGATCTTGGATCGCGTCTTCCGCACCTGTGGAAAAGGAAAGTATCGGTCAATTTTCCTGTTACGAAAAATGGTCGATCATTCTCGACTTCTTAGTGACAGAATTAAGAGGAACATGTATATGAATCGAATTCTCGTATTCTTCACGTCAGGTTTTCTCGCCTAGATTCATAAATTCTGGTAATTCAATCGTAGAATCCTAACGTTAACCTAATAGATGTCCCCACTGCTGGGACACAGGCCTTCCCTATGGATGGAATAGGGAGATTGGGCCATGCCCCACCACGCGGGCCCAGTGCGGGTTGGTGGGTGATAACGACTGCAGATGCAGCCGGGACCAACGGCTTAACGTGCCTTCCGAAGCATGGCGGAGCTCGAGATAGTAATTTTCGGTCACCCATCCAATGACCGACCACTGCGAAAGTTGCTTGAATTCAACGATCGCTGCGGAACGCGCTAACCACTTGCGCTAACTCAATAATCTTGTTTAAAGAGATTTAAATAAGAATTACTCGAATAAATTAATAAAGAACAACTATCTAGCGCAATACAATGCTCCAAGATTCTATTTCTTTAAAAGTCCTTAAGATAATGTATATTATTCATTTTACAAGGTCTGTCGTCGACAACGAGGTCTTGCTGAGTTTATTGACTGCAGTTTTCAATACAAGGTCACTTAGTCCTAAGCTTCATGTAATTTCCACTGCTTTATTCCACAAAATAACTATTATAATGTGGGATTTATTTCTAACTATAGACAGTGAAGGTTAAGCAGATAAAGAATCGGTTATAAACAAAGTACTATTATATTAATTTCCAAGGAACCAAGTAAAAAGTACAATCATAGCTCTGAATATTTTTGATGAAAAAGTCTCGTGGGCAATTTTTAAATTTCCATTATCATATTCAATAAAAAATCCACAAGGATTTTAATTTCTCCGACATGAAAAAGTACCTCTGGCAAAATCCAAACGTTTGTCTCTTTGCGAACAATATAAAGTAAAATAAAATTTTATATTACAATAAATTTATCTGTTTCATTGCCTTTTCGATGCTCCGTCAAAAATCCTCTTTCATTTTGATGGGGGGCTTTATAACTTAAGTAAATTTTAATCATTATAATGCGATACAGTAAGCCCGGTACGTACAACCAATCCACAATTTGCTATCAATTTTGAAATTGTTCACTCCATATTATCAAGAATCAGGGTTATCTGAGTGGCACAAGTCCTCACTAAATCAATATCGGTTATCGCCAACGACTTAATATGGAGAAAATTATTCATTTTGCGACTTACTATTGGTATGGTTGTGATCATGTGATCCTTGAGCTGTTTTCCAGTGAAGGGGTCAACAAAATAATGCTTTGAAATCGCTTAATAATAGTAAGTGTATATAGTTTAATTAGGTTAAATAAGAATATGGAAATGAAGCAACTTTGAACAGGCGATCAAAGGACTGATAATCAAAATTTTCTATATCGAGCTCCGCTATACTTCTGAAGGTAGTTTAAATGGTTAGTTCCGGCTACATCTAGTCGTTAGCACCCACCAACTGTACCAAGCCTCACTCCATCCATTGAAAAGGCCTGTGTCACAGCACTGGGTTCATTAAAATGCTGATAATGACGGAGATTTTTATGCGATAGGAGTTTCTGAAGCAGCAGAGATACTTGTAGCATCAGCTGCCATCACATCCACTGAACTTTGAGATCTTAACAACTGCAGAAACGCCAAGTCAGCTTTGAGATCTGTTGTAGGCACTATACGGCAGTAATTATGTTATTTGGCTGCTGTCTTATCTTACTGAATGTCATTTTCTCCAGAGAAAGTGTTCGAGCTTCTACAATTAAACCTTTTTGTAGGAACTACCGATATGATGTCTGATAATTTACATTAAAAAAACTAGATTTGAGGGGCATCCATTGCGTCCAACTTGTCTTGATAGAAGCCGTGTCTAGTGGTGGTTCACGCGTCACCGCGGAAATCCATTTGTCCAACCTCTTTGTAGAACCTACCAATCTCTGTCAAATACCTTATGAAAGAGTTTGTTAACCAACCTGGTTGACTTGCGGGGCATCCCTCGCGTCAAGCTTGTCCAGAACCCGTGCCTGGTGGGGCACGCGTCGTCGCAGAAATCCATCCATCCAACCTCTTTGTAGAACCTACCAATCTCTGTCAAATACCTTATGAAAGAGTTTGTTAACCAACCTGGTTGACTTGCGGGGCGTCCCTCGCGTCCAGCTTGTCCAGAACCCGTGCCTGGTGGTGGCGCACGCGTCGCCGCGGAAATCCATCCGTCCAACCTCTCTGTAGAACCTACCAATCTCTGCCAAATAGCTTGTCAAAGAGTTTGTTAACCAACCTGGTTGACTTGCGGGGCGTCCCTCGCGTCAAGCTTGTCCAGAACCCGTGCCTGGTGGTGGCGCACGCGTCACTGGGGAAATCCATCCGTCCAACCTCTTTGTAGAACCTACCAATCTCTGTCAAATACCTTATGAAAAAGTTTGTTAACCAACCTGGTTGACTTGCGGGGCGTCCCTCGCGTCCAGCTTGTCCAGACAGAACCCATGTCTGGTGGTAGCGCACGCGTCGCCGCGGAACACATCCACAGTGCGGACGCGAACACCGAACTGCCTCCCTACCCGCTGCGCCAGCTCCCAGTACGCGAGCCTACACCACTCCGTCTCCCAAGTCTGCTTCTCTGAAAACCAGAAATTAATACGTTAAAACATTTGCCAGGTGTTCTACATATATCATTAAAAAAGATCTGCGAATACAAGAGGCTAGCGTAGAGAAATAAATACTCGTACTATTCCCATATATGGTGACAGGTGTTGAAGTTAGAAAATGATCCCCCATTTTGAACTGAACTGATGCTGAACTTTAATTTCACTACGGGACTGTTTTAATAGTACTGCATTTTGACACTGTCCTCAATCATAAAAGATATGGCGTCTATCCTAATCGCTCTCTTTTTTCTTTTTGTAATTTCAAATGGAAAGGGTCATTAGAGAACTAATTTGATTTAATTGTTGAACCTAGACTTTAATAAATAATTCAAAACCAATGTTTAGTCAATGCCATTGTCTTAGGGTTTGCTAAAATATGGTCATGTTTCACATTGCTATTCTTAAGTGGATTGTTCGTCTGGAAAACAATAATTTCTTCTACCACTTTACTGCAATACCAGGATACAGAGACTCGAACAAATCCTGAACTATGTTTGGTTACGAAACAGCGTTCGTCATCTATTGATACAATCAATAAATTCGTCAGCGCCCATAGAAACATGACCGCGATTACTGTAACATTACTGGAATTATTATTATCTAATAATAATTGTGATTCATGGCTATTTCACTAGGATCTATGATTATCAGTAATAAACAAGTTAACAATTACCTTCTACTTAAATTTATTTTACACACGCAAAATTCAAATTAAGTGAGAACTATTATTGACTCTGTGATGCGGTCAAGAGCATGTTAAGAAGCCATTTTAATGTCATATTTTTTCAACAAATCATGTCGCAATTCTAATTCCGCCTTATTAATTAAGACACATGGACATCAGAGAGAAGAATTTATTAGCAACATTATTAGTTATAGTGACACAAAAGATGGACATAATATAATTTTTATTATTTTTAAGCATGTAACTGCTTGATGTTTAAATCTAAAGAAAATATAACTAGAAAAAATTTCACGCGGACCAGGCAGCAGACGGGACTCGAACCCGCACCCTTCGCAATCCGGGCGAATGCACTGACCAATTATGCTACCGCGGCCCTCACGGACCGCGTCGAAATTCTTTCTAGCTATTCTTAAGCTGCAAGGCAGCGCCATCTCTTCGCATTATAGGTAAACCCACAATGTCAAATGAATACTTTTACAAGTATTAAACATTTGAAAGAAGAAATAGCAATTATAGTTATAATTTTTATTATTTTTAAGCATGTAACTGCTTGATGTTTAAATCTAAAGAAAATATAACTAGAAAAAATTTCACGCGGACCAGGCAGCAGACGGGACTCGAACCCGCACCCTTCGCAATCCGGGCGAATGCACTGACCAATTATGCTACCGCGGCCCTCACGGACCGCGTCGAAATTCTTTCTAGCTATTCTTAAGCTGCAAGGCAGCGCCATCTCTTCGCATTATAGGTAAACCCACAATGTCAAATGAATACTTTTACAAGTATTAAACATTTGAAAGAAGAAATAGCAATTATAGTTATAATTTTTATTATTTTAAAGCATGTAACTGCTTGATGTTTAAATCTAAAGAAAATATAACTAGAAAAAATTTCACGCGGACCAGGCAGCAGACGGGACTCGAACCCGCACCCTTCGCAATCCGGGCGAATGCACTGACCAATTATGCTACCGCGGCCCTCACGGACCGCGTCGAAATTCTTTCTAGCTATTCTTAAGCTGCAAGGCAGCGCCATCTCTTCGCATTATAGGTAAATCCACAATGTCAAATGAATACTTTTACAAGTATTAAACATTTGAAAGAAGAAATAGCAATTATAGTTATAATTTTTATTATTTTTAAGCATGTAACTGCTTGACTATAATTGCTATTTCTTCTTTCAAATGTTTAATACTTGTAAAAGTATTCATTTGACATTGTGGGTTTACCTATAATGCGAAGAGATGGCGCTGCCTTGCAGCTTAAGAATAGCTAGAAAGAATTTCGACGCGGTCCGTGAGGGCCGCGGTAGCATAATTGGTCAGTGCATTCGCCCGGATTGCGAAGGGTGCGGGTTCGAGTCCCGTCTGCTGCCTGGTCCGCGTGAAATTTTTTCTAGTTATATTTTCTTTAGATGGACATAATATGTTGTTGCGGAGGAGGTGCTCCTTAGTAGGAGCTGGATGGCGCCAGTGGCGCGTTCAGCTGCGGTCGTTGAAGTTGAGCAACGTTCGCAGTGGTCGGTCATTGGATGGGTGACCAAAAATTTACTATCTCGAGCTCCTCCGTGCTTCGGAAAGCACGTTAAGCCGTTGGTCTCGGCTGCATCTGCAGTCGTTAGCACCCACCAACCCGCACTGGACCCGCGTGGTGGGTCATTGCCCAATCTCTCTAATCCATCCATAGGGAAGGCCTGTGCCCCAG